CACATAACTCCATACCTTCCAACATTTCTCATGTGAAAATAAGGACAAGTGGGACATTATAGGACCAAGTCAGAAAACTGGACGGCTTCTGTAATTCTGGGACTGTCCCTGGAAAATAGGGACACCTGGAGGGTCTGGTTGGAGCTGTTGCATGCTAGAAAAAAAAGAAAAAGGTTTTCATCTTCTTGTTTGGACCGTAAGTCATGCAGTGGCCTGTCCTGGCCTTTGGATGTAGATGTCGCTGGCAAGGCTTTTGTAGCTAGAAGCGAGGAAGTACTAATCCTTTAGGTTTCAGTGCATACTCCTTCTTCCTCTCCCTGTGGATAAATGAATAATGAAAACAATCCAGCCTTCTCTTCTGGATTTATCACTTTGTGCTCCTTTCGGCTGATGCAAGGCCCTCTCGAGCAGCAAGCACTGGCATGAGGTGCCATCATAAAAGGCAATAAGGGCTGCTGAGTTTCCAGTGCCCTCGTTTTGTGAAGCTTCTTGCTCGAAACCCCCCTTAGAGGCAGTTTAAGGCAGTGTGGGGAACTAGGTCTAGGGAGCTAAAGTTACCCCAAGAGAGAAGGAGTTTCTGAGAACTGTGGTAAGAAATATCGGGAGCCGGGAAGGAAGGCAGCGAGGGCTTCTCATTGTGAGGGAAATTTTATTTTTAACAGATGCTAAGGCAGATGGCGCAGAATTAACAGAAAATGGGAGAGAAAAAAGTGGAGGAACATTACTGGCTCCAGAGAGAGTGGACATTAAAAAAAATAAAGAATAAGGGAATGAAAACAAGTTTAAGTACTCTCTCCAGAGAAGGGGGGAGGGGCATGGAGAGGCCGAGCAGGGACGAAGCAGCGTGATAATAACCAAAGGCGTGAAATTGCAAAAGTAAAATTTGTGGGACTCGGGAGGGGCCATGAAGGCCCCGGCTTCATTGCAAAACTCACTCAGAAATTACTGATGTGATGTTTTAGCTTTTATCATTAATAATAATCAAGATGAGGGAAGGGGGTAGGCGAGGGGGGAAGGGAGGGCGTTCGAGGCCCAGGCTGAGAAAAAGGAGAGGGGGAAGGAGAGGGGAAAGAGGGCAGGTTGCTGTGGGGAAAGGGGGGGATTAATGCAGAGAAAGGGGTAAGGAAGTGCAAAATGGGGGGGGATAAATGATACAGCAGGAGTGAAAAGGAGATCGTGTGGGCTGTTGCATGAGGGCAGAAATGCAATTGGTCGCAGTCGCGATATGAAAAAGACTTTGCTGGGAAGGGGGGGTACCTATAATGGAAAAGACCTGAAGCATAAATGAGAAAGCAGGAAGAAAGTCCTGGGAGGAGACGAAAAAGGGGAGAAGGAAATGTCAAATGGGGTTGGGGTTGCAGCCGATGAAATAGACGTCAGAGAGAGGCAGGGAGACAAAGAGAGATGCCATTCTCCTCCCAAATTAATTGAGGATACATCAGCCCGAGCTACTAAAACAGAGCTATTATGGATGGGTTAGTCACAGGTGGAGTTAAGGGCCTACAGAGGGATATTAGCCAAAATTGAGTGGCTTTTAATTTCTTTCTAATGAGAGACTGTGGCTGGGGAGTCAGACGATTCTTCAGCTCAGCTAGGCCTGAAGACTGCTAGGAGGCAGGAGACGGCAGCTTTCCACAGGCAGAGAAAAAGATACCTGAGCGGATCACACAGTGATTCCTGTGGCCAGGCTGATAATGCTAGAGCTGGACCAATATAAGGCTGATCGCCGAAAAATTGATGCTTTTGAATTCTGGTGCTGGAGGAGACTCTTGAGAGTCCCATGGACTGCAAGAAGATCAAACCTATCCATTCTGAAGGAAATCAGCCCTGAGTGCTCACTGGAAGGACAGATCCTGAAGCTGAGGCTCCAGTACCTTGGCCACCTCATGAGAAGAGAAGACTCCCTGGAAAAGACCGTGGTGTTGGGAAAGATGGAGGGCACAAGGAGGAGGGGTCGACAGAGGACGAGATGGCTGGACAGTGTTCTCGAAGCTACCAGCATGAATTTGACCAAACTGCGGGAGGCAGTGGAAGACAGGAGTGCCTGGCGTGCTCTGGTCCATGGGGTCACGAAGAGTCGGACACGACTAAACGACTAAACAACAAGCCGCCTGCAGGCTAGAGGGGGTGGGGTAGCCAGAGTGGGATGTGGCCACAGTACTACAGTGGGTCCAAGTGGTACTGGAAGTGTGGGGGGGCACATTTATTTGACTTGCACCAGAACCACGGCTGACCCCCAAACCAGCTAGGGAGACAGCTTGCCATAGTTTTTAGCACCTCCGCTGGCAGTGAATGCGGCTGTTGTCAAATAGGCATCTCTTCAGGGCTGCCCAAATTCACCCAACCTCTTCCTGTAACAGCTTCATGATGAATTCTGACGCCTATTTATCTTCGGGGGGAGGGGAGCACTGGTTGTGGCCATCTTTACCCCACACTATTCTCTCTGGCTCGTTATTGCTCCTGAAATCTGCCCTCCCCAGTGATGGGTGTGGTGAGTAATGTCCAGATCTGACCTCCAGGTTGAAGAGCTGCATATGGACTTCTGATAGAAATACTTTGTTGTTGTTTAGTTGTTTAGTCATGTCTGACTCTTCATGACCCCATGGACCAGAGCACACCAGGCCCTCCTGTCTTCCACCGCCTCCCGCAGTTTGGTCAGACTCATGTTTGTAGCTTCGAGAACACTGTCCAACCATCTCGTCCTCTGTCGTCCCCTTCTCCTTGTGCCCTCCATCTTTCCCAACATCAGGGTCTTTTCCAGGTTGTCTTCTCTTCTCATGAGGTGGCCAAAGTATTGGAGCCACAGCTTCAGGATCTGTCCTTCCAGTGAGCACTCAGGGCTGATTTCCTTCAGAATGGATAGGTTTGATCTTCTTGCAGTCCATGGGACTCTCAAGAGTCTCCTCCAGCACCATAATTCAAAAGCATCAATTCTTCGGCGATCAGCCTTCTTTATGGTCCAGCTCTCACTTCCATACATCACTACTGGGAAAACCATAGCTTTAACTATATGAACCTTAGAAATACTAGTACAATGTAATATCATGTCAGAAACATTTTTGTAATGCTCTGCCTAACTCTTGTGAAATCAGAAGTCATCGCTGTTGCTGTTTCCCTGGGAGGCCCCAATAAACTTTTCTTCTCCACATCAATATTGGCATTATTACAGATATGTGAAAAGCATGCTCGTGTCTCCCCTTTCTCATTTCATCTCCTATAGGTATAGAGATATGTGAATGTCAACAAGCCAAAAGCATTGATTATGTTCAGGTTGGGGAGATACGTTATGTGTCTGCATCTTCATGCAAAGGACTGTGGGAAATGTAGCTTTCTCCTGTTTCCACATGGGCAATGCATTTGAAATAAATGGATTCTTCATTTTGCTAGGGAAAAACCACACACACATCAATACAGAGTGACTTTATTCTGACTCTTGAGTGGCCTCTGGCTTTTCTAGCAAAGTTCCCATAGTTGTTCCCTGAGACATTGTCTCCTCTTCACAAACCCTGGAGATGATAGATAAATAGATATAGATAAATAGATAAATAGATGATAGATAGATAGATAGATAGATAGATAGATAGATAGATAGATAGAGATAACATGTTTAATCTTCTCTGCAGGAAGACACAGCTCAGTTGTAAGGGAAACTTTCTTGCAGGGGTTAAACCAGGGCACAGCTTCCAGCTTGCTTTCCCCCAGGGGGAAAGAGGGTATTTTATTTCCTTTTAATAGCCCCTCCTCATTTGCCTCCCCTAAGCAAAGAACAGTTATAATTCTCCATGGCAATGAAGTATGATTTCAATAGGACCACATTCCCCTGGGCTGCCAGCTGAGGCTGCTCCCCAAAGAGAGACGCCCCTCTCAGAGTCCATTCATGCTCAATTATAAAGGGTTGATTGGCCTTGTTGTCTGGTGAGGAAACCCATCACAGCCCCCTCCCTCATGGGCTCAAGGCTGATTTACCAGGACCCAAGCTGCTCACATTAATAAGAATCAAATTAAGTACAAGGAGTTATGGCAGAGAAGAGGCGGCGGCAGAAACAGGGATGCCCAAGCAAGGGTACCTGGGAACTCCCAGAGCTTTGAAAAGTGGATACAGAGCTAAGGCTGATGGCGACACTGCAGGTTCATTGAGTGGCCTTGGAGAGTAGGTATTCCTTGTTGGCGCTGGGGGCTCTTGAGTCCTTTTTCTGTCATTGCTCCCCTGCTCCGCACCTTTTTGCCCCGAAACGATTTATTCCCAAAGAGTTTGTGGCTGTGTATTCTTCCCCCCTGAGGGATGTGGGTGGCGCTGTGGGTTAAACCACAGAGCCTAGGACTTGCCGATCAGAAGGTCGGCGGTTCGAATCCCCGCGACGGGGTGAGCTCCTGTTGCTTGGTCCCTGCTCCTGCCAACCTAGCAGTTCGAAAGCATGTCAAAGTACAAGTAGATAAATAGGTACCACTCCGGTGGGAAGGTAAACGGCGTTTCCGTGCGCTGCTCTGGTTTGCCAGAAGTGGCTTAGTCATGCTGGCCACATGACCCAGCCAATAAAGTGAGATGAGCACTGCAACCCCAGAGTCGGCCATGACTGGACCTAATGGTCAGGGGTCCCTTTACCTTTACCTTTACCAGTGGGAAGGTAAACGGTGTTTCCATGCACTGCTCTGGTTTCACCAAAAGCGGTTTAGTCATGCTGGCCACATGACCCGGAAGCTGTACGCTGGCTCCCTCGGCCAATAAAGCGAGATGAGCACCACAACCCCAGAGTCGGTCACGACTGGACCTAATGGTCAGGGGTCCCTTTACCTTTTATTCTTCCCCCCAGCTTCCATATAGCAAAACTGTAGGGCTTTGGAGGTGAACAGGAAAGACACCCACCAATCTGGGCCCACAAGGCTGTTCCTGTAATGCGTCAGAAGACCTCCGCAGAGTAGAAATTGTAGAATTGTAGAGCTGAATGGGACCCTGAGGATCGTCTGGTCCAACCCCCTGCAATGCAGGAATCTTTTGCAGCTATCCCATACAGCGATTGAACCTGCAGCCTTGGCAATACCAGCACTGTGCTCTCACCAACTGAGCTACCCAGGCTTCTACCAAGAATCTACCTGTAGACTTGCTCCATTCAAGGTTTGCCATCTGTCCCAGAAGAAAGAAACCATTTCAGAGCCTGCAGTTTCAGAACTGCCCACAGCCCATCACCCCTGAGACGGATAAGTGATGCCAAAATAGTGGCATTGTGTACGCCAGAATGATCATCTGAGCTATTTCCACCCTGAGATCCTCTAATCTAGGGCAATATATAAATTTAATAAATAATAATATTTTTTCCCCAGAAATGCTAACTAATCCCCATGTGAGTGATCGTTCCTCTTTAACACACAGCTATGGCAGCTGAGGATTTGGCCCACTATTGTTTGCCATGGAATTGTATCAGATTATTAGGGGGCATGGTGCCCACTGAAACATGTGTGAAGCAGTATGAGCTCATTTCAATTGCTTGGGGCGATGGCATAAAATGAAATTAAAAAACCCACTTTAATTGACCAGCCATTCTTGGGTCAATCAGCCCCCTGTGGGCTCTTTCCAACATCTGAGATACCCATGGAGATAAGGAGAAAGTGTGCAGATCAGAAGGTTTGCGTTTCAAATCCCCGGGACAGGGTGAGCTCCCATTGCTCAGTCCTTGCTCCTGCCAACCTAGCAGTCAAAGTGCAAGTAGATAAATAGGTACCACTCCGGCGGGAAGGTAAACAGCATTTCTGTGCTCTGCTCTGATTCACCAAAAGCGGCTTAGTCATGCTGGCCACATGACCCGGAAGCTGTATGCCGGCTCCCTCGGCCAATAAAGCAAGATGAGCGCCGCAACCCCAGAGTCATCCGCAACTGGACCTAACGGTCAGGGGTCCCTTTACCTTTATCTCCCAACACCAACCCTTTCGATGTTGAAAATCCACCTCTGCTTCTGTACCAGACCAAGTCCCACTTACCTAGCAGCAAGTAGGAAAGTATGGGCACTCCCCTCCCCCCAACTGCTGAGGATGTCCTCTTCTCATGTATCTTCCGGGGTCCATATCCACAGGCAGAATTATATAAATGGTTTCATCATCAGAGCATTCATGATTCATTTATTCCTCGGGTTCCTTATGGGCATGGAAAATAAAAGGAGCCTGAAAAGTTTATTTCCTTCTCGGCCCTTGAGGACCTGCAGCTTCTAAAGCTGCTCAGTCAGAGGGAGAAAAGAGGAGATTATGCTGAAGGTCTGAGGCTGGTTTTGCATATTATAGTGCCGTTCCCATAAACCACAGATGATAGCTGCCTGAGTCTTACGCATTCCTGAAGGCATTATTACCATGATGGGGAAACTGAGAGGGGGAAATAGGTCTCTAAACTGTACAGGACTGGTCCACACACACACACACAAAACCCTAATCCACACTCCTTTTTAAATGCACATTGATTAACTCCCTAGAGGGTATTCAGATTCCAGATGAGTTACCTCTCTCTTTCTCTCTCTGCTGCACCAACACATTATTTATTCTCATTTAACTCCTTATTGGCATAGACAGCTGTTGATATGTCAGTCCCAGAGAACGTGGGCAGAGTCAGTTTTCATTTCTCCGGAACCTCAAGTGTAATATGGCAGTAACATCTCTGGGGTCTTTTGGAGAGTTCCTTGCCTTCTCCTTAACCTTGTACCCCAGGGGGTCAATTGGCAAAACCAGATTAGATGAATATATCTTGTTGCTCCGGTTATACTGCTGGGACCGAATCTATCCCCAAAGACTCAATGACTGCCATCACCTGATGTGTTAAAAAGCAGTAGGGCTCTTACTTCAGGTCTAGTCTTCCTTGGTTACTCTGATGGATGGCTTATGCAAGGGGGAGGGTGACCCTGGATTTCTCAGTGGCTTTCAGATACCTTTCTGAATAGGCTGTCTAGAAGTAGAGGCATTGTTTTACAGTGGTTTTGATCCTACTTGGGTGGTCAATTCCAGAAGGAGGTGCAGAAGGACCACTTGGCGCTGATGCTATGGGGTGTCAGGAAGGTGGCCCCCCAGGACCCAGCAGAAGGGTTAGCCTCAGGAAGTGGACAAGAGGCTGGCTCTTCTGATGAGACAGAAGGGTTAAACTTCAGGGTTAAACTTGTTGAATGGTCACATTAAAATGTGAAGGTTCATTATTATTTCACAAGTTGTGTATGTCTTTAAGGGCCAGGGCAAATAAGGAGACCCAGTCTTACAGCTGTGAAACATAGCAGGTGCTGCTGAGTTGTGTTAATCAAGCTGTGTCAGCAATTGAGTGTAGTATATAAGGAGCAGCACCTAGCTCTGCCATTACCCTGGGGGATGGGTTGGTGGTTGGGTCTGGTTTGTTGTTGATGTATTTAGTGTATAAGGAGTTTTTGTTATTGTTATTAAAACCTTGTTTTAGTTATTTTTTAGTCCCTTTTTAATGCATGGTCTCCCCAGCAAGCTCTCTGCAGCACTACTAAACTGCAAATAGCCAACAAAACTGACTTTTCTGATGAGGGAGAAGAGCTAGATTCCAAAGCTGACAGTCCAAGGCCCTCACTTCACAAGGTAGAAACAGATAAGAGAGGCTCAGAAACTCTATCCACTGAGAGTGGATAGCTCCTATTCCCAGCTCCCAGTCCTCGATCTCAAAGTTGGGAACGCCGCAAAGAGCAGCGGAAGCAGAGGGGTGGAAATATGAGGTTCTGGCATCATTCCTGTTGGAGGCGGAACTCTGATTCAGATTACAACATGTATTGTCGCTGAGAGGGAGTGTGAAGCTCCGCTCTGTATGTTTGTTTCTGTATACAGTGGTACCTCAGGTTACATACGCTTCAGGTTACATATGCTTCAGGTTACAGACTCCGCTAACCCAGAAATAGTGCTTCAGGTTAAGAACTTTGCTTCAGGATGAGAACAGAAATCGTGCTCCAGCAGCGAAGCAGCAGTGGGAGGCCCCATTAGCTAAAGTGGTGCTTCAGGTTAAGAACAGTTTCAGGTTAAGAACAGACCTCCGGAACGAATTAAGTACTTAACCCGAGGTACCACTGTACAAAGCTACCTTATTTTTTGCTCCATAAGACACACCTTTTCCCTCCTAAAAAGTAAGGGGAAATGTGTTATGGAGCGAATGCAGGGGGAGGCAGGCAGGAAAAGACCCCAAGAGCCACACACAAGCTCCACACAGCTCTTGCGGGCTTTTCCCTGAGGAGGGAGAAGGGACTGACTAGCTGCGTCAGTCCCTTCTCCCTCCTCGTAGAAAAGCCCGCAGGAGTGCTCCCTTTAAATAATTTTTTTTCTTGAATTCCCCCTCTAAAAACTAGGTGCGCCTTATGGAGCGAAAAATACGGTATCTTGAACTGATGGGAGACTGCTTACTGCTGGTTAGCCTGTTCGTTACCAGGGATCGTTATATGGGGGTCCTCCATCGGTCTTGTCCTCTGTGCTTTTTATCACCTATATGAAACTGTGGAATGAAGTCACTGCAGGGTTTGGGGTGGGGAGCAATCAGTATGTCAATGAGACTTATTCCTCTTTTTCATCTATTTCAGGTGGAGAAGTGAAAGTGCAAAACCGGTGCTTGATCACGGCGACAACATGGCGGTCAACAAACTGAGGCTCATTTCATTTAAGGTGAAATTGCTGTTAAGCAAGTGGTTTGTCTATCCAGGCAATTGCTGATCCTCTTGTTTGGGATGAGCTGTACAGTGGTACCTCGCAAGACGAATGCCTCGCAAGACGAAAAACTCGCAAGACGAAAGAGTTTTTCGTTTTTTGAGTTGCTTCGCAAGACGAATTTCCCTATGGGCTTGCTTCGCAAGACGAAAACGTCTTGCAAGTTTGTTTCCTTTTTCTTAAAACCGTTAATACCCAGGAAACCGTGCTTCGCAAGACGAAAAATTCGCAAGACGAAAAACCTCGCAGAACGAATTAATTTCGTCATGCGAGGCACCACTGTACTCCTGAAGGAACAAGTTTGTGGCTTTGGGGTGCTCCTTGAAAGTTTCCTCCAAGGCGTGGAGCGTCTTTTATCACCCTGGGTTGGTTCATCTGGACAGAGGGAGTCTGGCCTCCATTATCCATGCTCCTCCTGGTTTGAATGGTCTAGAAACTGCAGTTAGTTCAGAATACAGCTACTTATCCGCTAAGTGGTATTAGGAGTTGTGAGCATAAATTATGCTGGTGCTCCACCAACTGCACCACACCTGGTCCATTTGCCGATCCAAGCCAAAATGCTGGTGTTGACCTTTAAAGCCCTTCACAGCTTGGGGCTAGGGTATCTAGAGGATTGCCTGCCCATGCTTTAAGATCATCATCAGAAACCCTTCACTAGAATCCCTTGTGGTCTAAGACAGGTTTCCTCAACCATGGCACTCCAAGTGTTTTGAGACTACAATTCCCACCATCCCTGACCACTGGTCCTGCTAGCTAGGGATCATGGGAGTTGTAGGCCAAAAACATCTGGAGGGCCAAGGTTGAGGAAGCCTGGTCTAAGGCTTGGCAATTGGTTACTAGGACAGGGCCTTTTCAGTGGTGGAACCCCAGCTTTTGAATTTCTTTCATGGGGAAATTTACTTGGTGCCTAAAGGTAAAGGTAAAGGGACCCCTAACCATTAGCTCCAGTCGTGGACGACTCTAGGGTTGCAAAGCTCATCTCGCTTTACTGGCCGAGGAAGCCGGCGAACAGCTTCCGGGTCATGTGGCCAGCATGACTAAGCCGCTTCTGGGAAAACCGGAGCAGCACACAGAAATGTCGTTTACCTTCCCACCGGAGTGATACCTGTTTATCTACTTTCACTTTGACGTGCCTACCTGGACTTAATTTCAGGGCCAGCCAATCCCCTCTTTTTACTTTTATGTTTGCTTTGAAGTTTTGTTGGTCTGTTTTATTCTGCCTCGCACATTGTTTTCATGCTGCTTTAAAAAATAGATTTGCTGTTGCTAACTCTTTTTTTTGGTTTGCATTAGTTATTATATTTAAAAATAATGCTGTGCCAAAACTTCCCCACATTTTATTTTAAACTGCTCTCCACCAGTTAGCGAGAAAAGAAACTGCGTTCAAAAATTATCAAAGGG